AATGGTAGCGGTTATCATCATCATGATCATAATTTATCACTGAGTGGCATGACAACAGAAACGACAAAATCTTCCCTGGAGAAGAATATAACTGGAGCCTAAAACAGGGAAATAGGCAAGAGGCAGATTCCGTGCATGAGAGCTGTCAGGTACTCTCCTAAGCCCTTCCTTCACTCGTCTTCTAAATTCACTTAATTCTCATTACCTCCACTTTTACAGGTAAGGAAACTCAGACACTCATTCCAGGTCTGGCAAACCTAAAAAGACTGAATCCACAGCCTGTACTTTTTTAACACTACTCCACACTGAACAAAGCTTTTCAAAGACGAGTCCTCTTCAACAGAGATGGCTCTGGAGCCAGATTATTGAGATTTGGGTCTGAAGAGTCTTTGGACCCCACCCTCCCCTGTTTAAACTTGAACACTATCCCATGCTAAATCAACATTATAGGGTAGAACAACTTTGTTATTAGGAGCGTGGACTGATGAGTCAGACAGCTAGGTGTTAAAGCCTGTTGTGAGGCACATACCAGCTAGGCGACCTCAGCTTTTCTGAACCTCAGTTTCCTTATCTGCAAAATGGGAACAATAACATCTACTTCAGAAGCTGTTTGGAGTATTAGCTCAAGAATTTACGTAAACCACGCAGTTCAAGGCTCATTGAGAGTTAACCCTAAGTAAGGGGAACCAAGGGAAAGAGAAGAAAAATAGGAACCCTAGTAGAAAGCGGAGCTTGTCTCCAGGTGTGACCCAGGAGACAAGAGAGCGAGGACCCGCCCCGCGCCCACCGCCACCGTAGCCCGCCCTTACCGCTTTTGGGTTTAGACTCGCCAGCCGGCCCAGCCGAGGCGGAGCGGGGCGGCTGTTGCCCTTTGCTGCTGCCCGAAGAGGCGGAGGAGCTGCTGGAGCCGCTGTTCTTGTCCATGTCGGAGGCGGTGGCGGCGGCGTTGGGGGAGCTCTGCGGCATCAACTGGGGCCTCGGCGGCGGCGGCGGCAGCGGTCGGAGCGGAGCGGGCGCGGCGGGGACCCAGGCTCATGGCGTTCGGGGCCGGCGGGGGTCGGCGGCGGCAGCGGTTCTCGGCCTTCATGGCGACATTTTTCCTTGTTTCCTTACTCGGCTTCTCAAATTGGGAAGAGAAGCGGCTGGCGGGGCGGTCAAGCCCGCTGGCGGCAGTGACCGAGACGGAGAAGGAGGCCGGGGCTCGGAAGTCCGGGCCGGGCCTGGCGGGGCGGAGGCTGCGGGGAACTGGGAGGCGAGGGTGGGTGCGCGAGCCCCGCCGGCCGGCCGGACGGACACGCTCTCCCGCCGCGGGGCAAGGGAGAGGGCTGGTTGTCTCGGTGTCGGGGACCGGTGTCTCCGACACAGCGACCGACACTCGCCTCTGGGCCGAGGCCGAGAAGCTCCTGGAATGGCGACGAGTCGCCAAACAGCATCTCGAAGAACCCGGATGGACTATATAAGGTGGAGATGTGGAAGTGAAGCACTCTGGGAAGTGTGGTTTTCGGCCCTCATCCGGGTCTACTAATATTTCCCCCCCCCCCCCGTATGTGAGGGCGTACGGCATGATGGGACTTGTAGTCCAACTCTTAATAGCACGCTAGTAATGTATAATAATAAATACTACTAATAACCAATCCAAATATTGGAATACCTGTGGAATTCTTTTGTTAATTCATTGTTTAAATGTATAATTCTTGTACTAGAATTAACATCAATTTACTCATGGCTCAAGTTATTCATGGCTCTTACTCTATCCCCTAATAACTATAATAGTAACAATAACCGCAAAACCTTACGTTTAATATCACTTTACAACACTTCCTCATACAATACTTCACTTCATTGTCATTTATTAATATAAGTCGTTGTTAATATTTCAGTTCATTAATAATAGTTGTCATTCAGTGCTTCTTATTAGCAGGCACTATGCTGTGCAGTTTGTAAGGTTATACCACACTTAATCCTCACAATAACTCAAATTTAAAGACAAGGAAACGGCCTTTAAAAGCTTAGATCATTTACCCACAATCACATAGTTAATAAGTTATGTTCTCAACTACCTTGAGATAAGTTATTACCTCAACTATGAGATAAGCAGTTCCCCATTTTACAGATATGGAAACTAAGACAGAAAATCACATATGTATTTTTGCAATTGCATCACATCCATCCTTTGTAAAATTATAAATGATGCCCTTCAACCACAGCAGTTTGAAATTCAAAAGATCTTATACACACTGTTAAAGAGATCAACAAATAATTCTTCTCAGACTAATTTTAGTTAGAAGCCTGTAATATGCCAGGCACTGTGCTGAGCACAAATGCCAAACTACATTAAAATTGAGGCTTTTAATATACTTCTAGTTTCCTAAGTTAGTTAAGACACCAGGTAGGCTGGCACTCACCAAGGAAAAAGCCATATTCAGTTCGAGCCTAAAGATGGTGAAGCCCAATGGACGAGTTGGAATCTGGGATCTCTCAAGCTCTCCTGGAGCTGGAAATGAACTTGGACCTCAAGGCCCAGCTAAGGGAGTTGAATTTAAAGGCTGCCAAGGAATTTGAAGTTGGTGGTGGTCAGAAAATTATTATAATCTTTGTTTCCATTACTCACCTAAAATCTTTCCAGAAAATCCAAGCCCATGGGAAAAAAAATACAATAAAGATTAAATAAAAAATAAAATAAAATGAGAAGAATTGCAAAAAAATAAAGAGAAAATCAATGTCCAAAAAAAAGTTCAGTGGGTAGCACATTGTCTTTATTACCCAAGAGTTACCTAAGTCCACTTGAAAAAGCCTACAAAAATAAGCAAAAATATCCCAAGAATTGCAAGACAGTCATGGTGATACTGGGTGGAAGCCAGCTCATAAAAGTTCATTTGGCTAAAACACTGCAGAACAGTAGGGAACACAAGGTTGAAACCTTTTCTGGTGTCTATCAGAAGCATAGGGACAAGGATTTAATTTTGAATTCCTAGAGTTCCAGTTGTAAACAAAAATGACTAAATACTATATCATTCACACTAAGAAAAGAAAAAAGAAACTGCAGTGGTAGATTGTGATAAAGGCTATAATAAAGCTAACACAAAATGCTGTCCAGAGGAGAAACTCCAAGAAGTACAAACAGTTGGGAGGGGTAAAAGAGGACTTCCCAGAGGTGGTGTCACTTGAGCTGAGTGGAATTTCAGCAGTCAAATATGAACAAATAAATAGACAAAATCCTAGAATTCCCATAATTGGGCCCATTTTGGCTCTTTATTAGTCATCACATGTTATACAAAACATTAAGACATACAGCCCTGGCTGGCGTAGCTCAGTGGATTGAGCGCGGGCTGCGAACCAAAGTGTTGCAGGTTCAATTCCCAGTCAGGGTACATGCCTGGGTTGCAGGCCATGACCCCCAGCAACCGCACATTGATGTTTCTCTCTCTTTCTCCTTCCCTTCCCTCTCTAAAAATAAATAAATAAAATCTTAAAAAAAAGAAGTATATATATGCCACTTTCTTGAAATTATCCATTTTAACTGGGACAAAAGAACTTAGATACTAATTTCATTTTCTTTTTAAAGATTTATGTATTTTTAAAGAGAGGGAAAGGGAGAGAGAAAGAGATGGAGAAAAGCGTCAGTGCGTGGTTGTCTCTCACACACCCCCTACTGAGCACTTGGCCTGCAATCCAGGCATGTGCCCTGAATGGGAATCAAACCAGCTACCCTTTGGTTTGCAATCTGGCACTCAATCCACTGAGCTGCGCCCTGGGCTACTCTCATACTTTTAAATCTCCTTAAAATGCCCTCTGCCAGTCCTTATCTTGGTTCACCATTTCCAGTCGCCCCCACCCCAAAGATCATACTGAAATGAGAGACTAGCTACTGTAAATTTAATTTGATATTTAGAAGGAAGAGCCTCAAAGCCTAAGGTTCGTTCTCATGTATGACTAGATGAGGACAATATGCCAAGATTCCTTGATGAGTGTTTATTTCCTTTAATGAAGATGTGAATACTCTGATTACATGAACGAATCATTCCTTCCATTACTCGTAAAAATTAAAGACAGGAAAAGAGAAATCCTAGTGCAGTTTTTTCTGAAAGAAAGTAGTAGGTGTCCATCCGTCAGGCTACATTAAACCAGAAAGAAAATTTTCATTTTCAAAATAGTTTCTTAGGGTCCTTGGCGCTTTCTCCTTGTGAAATGTTTACAGAAAACATGCATTAAAAAAAGAATCAAAGAAACAGACAGAAATCCAAGCAAAACTTACCACCTCCACCCTCTTTTCCGCAAGCTGGTCTACAATACATTACCCTTTCCATTTAAAAATTAAAAAACAAAACAACAGGGAAATCTGGGTTTGAAGTAAAGCACCCGTGCTATGCCCGTTGGAGCTAGAAATGCAGCTGCGTGCCAACAGGAGGGGAAATGTGAGTGGTGATTTATTCTGACTGTCTAAGATACCAGAGCTTTCTCTCCGATGTTTATTTTTCAGAGTTGTCTAGTATGTTCCTTAAGAATGGTCTGCGAATTCCTCGCGTCAGAATCACCCGAAAAGTTTGGTCAAATAAAGATTCCCAGAATCCGTTATCAGATTTACTGATTCAACATCTCTGGTATTTGGGGCCTGGTAATCTGCATTTTAAAGATCAAACCAGGTTAGTCTTATGCACACCACAGGTTGCGAGAATTAACCTGTAATCTTAGCCTTTTACCACTCTTGACCTCAGTCCCCTTCCCCGCTCCCCTATCCCCGTTCTTCACCGTTTTCGTTATCTTGCAAGTTGGTACTAGTACTACTACTGGTTAGCAAGATTCACAGACATCGCCGCTGAGAGGTGAGTGGAGGCTCTCCCTAAGGTCCACTCACTCCTGATGAATTCTGTGTTCAATTTGGGAAGACTCCGGATTCCAGAGACCATCCATAGATCCTTAATATCAGGTTTCAGGACGCGTTCGGCTAATGTCTCTGGCCGGCCTCCGTCGGCCGTCTAGTGACACAACGTGACGTAATGTCTGGCGGCTGTCTCCCGACTGTCAAGATGGCGGCCCCCAGGAGTTGCGCTCTATGGGGCAACTGCGGCCGTGGGTGGTCGCGGTTGATGCGGAGCTGCGGGCTACCCGGGCTTCGTAGCTCCTGGCCTGGGAGCCCGCTGGGTGCGCGGCTCTTGTCCCAAGAGAAGCGGGCATCGGAAACGCATTTCGGGTTTGAGACTGTGTCGGAGGAAGAGAAGGGGGGCAAAGGTGAAAGGGGCGAGAGGGCGGATGGTGGGATCTGATCGTCTGCGATCTAGTTTCTTCTGCCCAACTAAGGGTTAACTTACCATCCTGTTACGTTAGCTCCGGTGCTGTAGCTTGTGCATTCCTGACATCCAAGGAGTCCCCTCCAGCCTGACCGTGTGAGTGCAGAGCTTAGACACCTCCTCTTATTAAGCAGAGCAATTATCACCAATCCCATCAGTTTAGTGTTCATAATGTGCCAGGCGCCGTGCAGACATTTACAATTTTTATTTCAACGTCTTGATGGTGGGTATTGTTTTCCCAATGTTACACATGAGGAAATTGAAATTTAAAAGTTAAGCAAGAACTTGTCCAATTTAACACAGTAAGTGGTGGAACCAGTAAAAGTATTCCGATCCATTTTGGTCTGACTACAGAGATCACGTTCTTTACCTCTTGTTAGAAGGATAGGTCTTTTTGGTTTTTTTGTTTTTGTTTTTGTTTTTGTTTTTTCAATTGATTTGGGAGAGAAAGAAACATCGATTTGTTGTTCCACTTAGGCATTCATTCGTTGATTTTTGTATGTGCCCTGACCCGGGATGAACCCACAACCCTGGTGTTTGGGAAGGATGCTCTAACCGTGTCCTACATGATCAGGGCAGGAAAAGCCATTTTTTTTTCTAGAAAGGGAAAAGGAAAGTATCTTCTCTGTACCTCAGCTTCCAAATTTGCCAACTAGGAATAATGGTAACCTTTTTCTTAGAGTTCTTGTGAGGATTAGATTACTTAATACATTAAAATTTAAAGTATTTTGAACAATGCCTGACACTTTGTAATTGTTCAATAAATATTAGATATTATTGAGAAGTTTCTTTGAGCCCAGCACTGTGCCTCAGACATGGAAAAGAAAAAGAACAGTTTTCTTTAAACTAATGACTTTTTTTTAAGATTTTATTTATTTATTTTTAGAGAGGGAAGGGAGGGAGAAAGAGAGAGAGAGAAACATCAATGTGTGGTTGCTGGGGGCCGTGGCCTGCAACCCAGGCGTGTACCCTTACTGGGAATCAAACCTGCGACACTTTGGTTCGCAGCCCGCGATCAATCCACTGAGCTACGCCAGCCAGGGTGAAAAAGAACAGTTTTAAAACTCCAAATATACCATTTATAATGGGGAAGGTATTATGTCCATTTTACCGATGGATAATGTGAGACTCTGAGAGGTTCCTTTGCTTAACCTATGGCCACCCAGGAAATAAGAAAAAGAGTCTACAGTATAATTTCCCATCCTCTTAAAGATTACTACGGTGTATTACCTCTCACCTCAACCATACTAAATGTAACCCTACTGTAACTCTTTGAATATTGAATTTAAATTTATTTCACTGTGAATCCCTAGAAGGCTAGGACAGTGGGTCATTCATGTTTATTTCCTCAGTGCCTGATGCACATTAGGAGTTTTATAACTGCTCGTAGAGTGATAATAAGTAGAGCCAAGTAAAACAATGGTAAGTATTTATTGAGAGCCTAAAACCTTTAAAAATATTTTATATTAATTCTTATAAATACAACCCAGTGAAATAGGAACTATTAGCCTGGTTTTATAGCTGAATAAAATGTCAAAACAGAGATATTAAGTCACTTGCCCAAGATTGCTAGTAAGCTGCAGAGCTGGCATTTGAATCAGGTGGTTTGCTTCCAAAATATTAATAATGCCCAACCACTGTATTTTGCTTTACAGTATCTAAACATTGCACACAGTGACAAGCAGGGGGACGAGTTACCTGCTGAGCTAAATACAACTTCCAGATTTAAGGCCCAAGATCGAAGTACAGGCAGAGTCTTCCCTTTACAAAGTGATGCAGGATGGTAAAAATAACCAGGCAAGCTGAAATCCTGCACAGTGATCTCAATAATCAACAAGAAAATTTTTAATTATTCCATGACCTTTAAAAATTATTGAACATCAAAAAGTCTGAATGTCAGTTATAAATGCACAGGGAAATGAAAAAAAAATAGCAAAGTTAATACTTCTTTAGTACACTAATTATAAATTAGGCTTAATTTAATATTTTTAAGATTTTAATTTCATTAATGTATTTAGAATTTTCTAGTTTAAGTTTAAATTCTTAAATTAAAATTCCAGTTAAAAATTAGGAACATTGAAAATTAATTTGTTTTATTCCTTTGCAAAAAAATTTACTAAGAGTTGTTTGAACAGTGTTTACGACCTTCTCATCCTATAGTTTACAATAGGGAGTCAGCATCTTCTCTATGCATTCACAAATTGTCGTACTCCTTTCTAAGTTTTCACTTTCTAATGTTTTATACTTTCCTGTTTATTGTCATGAAATATCTCCAAGAATTCCTTTAATGTGAATTTTTTTGCTGGCATCATTTCATGTGTGACATCTTCACCATTTTCATCACCACCACATCCTCATTTATGTCCATAAGTTCATCTCACAGTTCTGGCTGCGTATCTACTTTCTCAAGTGGCCGCAGTATCAGCATTCCCACGATCAGCCATTTCCCCTGTAACTCCATTGACATTCCATTTAAATTTCACTTCCAGCATCATCACTCTTCATGTCCTCACTGCATTCTCACTTTTTTTGGCCAGTTTCCTCTTAGTTATCCAGTCTTGTAAAATGCCATGTTTACCACAGAGATAAGGAGGTAACACAACTGCATGCTTTGCTGTCTGTGGGTGAACTGAAAAACTGGCGTATAGTGAGTGACCGGCCATTTACAAACTGAAAGAAGTGACATGACTAGTTATCAGGATGCATATCTGTTATTTACATAGTAACTTGTCAACTGAAGAAACACTAGTGAAGTTTATACTTTATGCAATTACAGTTAATATCCCCTTGTATTTGAATGGTATTTGGGGGGACTGGTGTTATTTAACTAAACCACAGTAACTGAAATTCATGCATATCGGAACCATGTGAAGCTAGGGGTCCTTATACTCAGTAGGTTGAGCCTTAGTGCCCCTCAACTCCCCAAAAGATGTCCAAAAGGAAAAAGCAAACCTGGAGATCTCAGAGTTGAGAATAGGCATTCAAGATCAAGTTAAAGGGGAGCTCCAGGGTCGGCTGACTCAGCAGAGGGCAGTAGTGTTTGGGGTTTACGCAGCACATTTCATCTGAGGAACTCAAAGCATCTCCCCTTCACTACCTGATTCGGCCTGAGGGCAGGGAGGGAGGGGCTGCCAATGATTTTCTCATGAGCAGAGAAACTGAGGTGCAAAGAACTTAAATGTAGGCTGTGCCTTAAAGTTTCTTGGATAGTAAATTCCTTCTCTTTCTCGCTAGCCCAGATTCCACATTCTGCCTTGATCCTATGATGATTCATGAGCACTCTCTACAGTGTAACTTGTCCCTGATTCACATCTTGCTATCCACCTGCCCACCATATTGTACCTGAGGCTTTTCTCAGTGACACAGGCAGAGGTGAGCTGAGGCCTTCCCATCCATTACTCATATGTTTTTCTAGTGGATTTTATTGTCTTTTATTATAATAACCATTAGAAAAACTTCCACCACCACCCCCTATCCTCTAAGAAACAGAAACCTATTTAGTACCAAGTTTGTACATGGCATGATTACGAAGTAATGACTCTAAGCCCTGGCCAGGTAGCAACGTTGGTGAGGGTATCATCCTGATACGCCAAGGTTGCAGGTTTGATCCCCAGTCAGGGCACACAGAAGAAGCAATGAATGCATAAATAGGTGGAACAACAAATTAATGTTTTTCTTTCTCTCTCACCCCCTTCCTCTCTCTCCGAAATCAGTTTTTTTAAAGTAATGGTCCTAAAGATAACTAAGACAGTAGAAAAGTTGATTTCTTATATGAAGTAATATAAACTTTTTTTAAAAGATGCAATATTAAGGTGTAGATTTGGGCATTAAGCATATGGCTTGAGTTTACCATGGAAAGACAGGCAATTTCAGGGGTGGGGATGGGGAGAAGCTTCCTTCTCTTTCACTTAGGAATTTCACCAGGTGAATCTTGTCAGTAACATAATTGTGTTCTATTTCTCTCATGTCAGTCTATCAGGTGTTTGAAAGCGTGGCCAAGAACTATGATGTGATGAATGATATGATGAGCCTTGGTATCCATCGTATTTGGAAGGATTTGCTGCTCTGGAAAATGCACCCGTTTCCTGGGACCCAGCTCCTCGATGTTGCTGGAGGCACAGGTAATGACCGCGTTCATATCCTCAGGTACCACTGAGCACCTTTTACAGAAATTAGTGTCTCTTATTGGGATGAGCTGCCCCACCTGCCATTAGCCCGAAGATAGTAGCTGAAAATCAATACACTTCTCAGAAAGGGTTTCTCTTCCCTTTCTAACTGAATGTCAATCAGAAGCACAGAATATCAGCTTTGTGCCTGTCACTTTTCTAAAATGCACAGAATTATAAAATAAAAAGACCAGTTTTTTACTCCAGTGACATTTCATGAAAATGATTTTTGCCTTTTGTTTAACCTTTGACCCATCTTCTTTCTTGGAGGGATGCCTCCTTTATTACTTGGTGCGCACTAGACATTTGGGGAGAAACATGTCACGCGCTTCTCAAATGCATCTTGGTGATATTACATGGTTAGTGTACTTGTTAAATTACTTTAGAATAGTGTATAATATGATGCAATAATGTGATTATACCAGCAGAATCAGGTATAATAAATTATAGTAGAATAATCTCCATGTTTGAAATGAATGTGAGGCCTTCGTTGGTGTGGTCCTCTCCCCAAATGGAATCTTAGAAAGCAAGTAAAAAATCTTGCTCAGTAGAGAACAGTTTAGCAGAATCTTATCAAAATCTAAAATACTTATAGTCATAAAAAAAAAACCCAACCCAAAAAACTTGCCCTGACTGGTATGGCTCTGTTGGTTGGGTGTCATTCTGTAAAGCAAAGCGTCGCCAGTTTGATTCCCAGTCAGGGCACATGCCTGTGTTATGGGTCAGGTCCCCAGTAGGGGGCACGTGAGAGGCAACCACACATTGATGTTTCTCTCCCTCTCTTTCTCCTTCCCTTCCCCTCTCTCTAAAAATAGATAAGTAAACTCTTTTTTAAAAATGTAATTAAAAGGTATTCCTATATATTTAAAAAGACATTTTTAAAAGATACAGGTATAAATATGCTCACTGCATTATTTTTAGTAATACTAAAAAATTAGAAATAACCTATTTACCCATCAATAAAGAAATGGCTTTAAATGAAGATATATCCATTTTATGAAATATGTAGCTATTTAAGAGAATGAAAAGTAGGAAAACCTATAAACACTAATGAAAAATCTCAAAGGTATTAAATGGGGAAAAAAGAAAGTTATATAACAATGTATAATATAACCCCCATTTATATTTTTAAGTTGTTTCATATAAATACATATAAATGTATTTAAATACATAAGAAAGTGACTGGAGAATACCAAATTGGATGGAGAGACTGGAAAAACTTAAGGACACATTTCTTTTTTTTTTAAGACGTTATGTATTTATTTCTAGAGAGAGGGGAAGGCAGGGAGAAAGGAGGAGAGAAACTTTGATGCATGAGAGCTACATCAACCAACTGTTTCTCGTGCACCCCCAGCTGGGGACCTGGCCCATAACCCAGGCATGTGCCCCGACTTGGAACCAAACCAGTGACCCCCCCAGTTCACAGGCCAGCACTGCATCCACTGAGCCACACCAGCCAGAGCAAGGATGCATTTCTTGCAAATAGTACTAGAAAAACAAAGACAAGGAAACAGCATTGGAAGAAAGGAAATGTGATTCTGAAAAGTACTGACCTGGCCTGAACAGTACAGTATTTGCCTGGTCACAATAAACTGTTACCAGTCTTGGCAGAGTGAAAGTACACAGGATGGAAGGTTTAAGGGAGTCAAGAGATACCATCTGTAGTTGATAGGATAAGAAATAAAAACATTGACTAGAGTGTTACTCGAGGTTACAAAGGTATCTATGAGAAGCGATATGAATGTATTGAGAAGACAGAGGCAAGAAGAGATGGGGGCAGGATGTCACTATAAATTTGGTAACTAAAGAAATAGCTGTGACTTATAGAAGGAAGAGCCGAAGGAATTGGGCCGGATGGTCTCTGGGGAACTGAACTGGGGCTGGGAAATGATGGGGGAGAGAGTTGTCACTTGTAACTATACCCTTATGTTACTTTCATAAAAATTATTAGAAAAAGACTAGAAGGCTACATGCTAAGCTTTTAATACTTGTTATATATGGGGAAGGTATGGACAGAGAATGTGACTTGCATGTTTTATTCTATATGTTGAGATAGTATTTTTTTTTTAAGATTTTAGGTATTTCTTTTTAGAGAGAGGAGAATGGAGGGAGAAAGAAGGGAGAGAAACATCAACGTGTGGTTGCCTCTCGCACACCCCCTACTTGGGGACCTGACTGTCAACCCAGACATGTGCCCTGACTGGGAATCGAACCAGGGACCCCTCAGTTCAAAAGCTGGCACTCAATCCACTGAGCCACACCAGCCAGGGCAAGATATTGAGTCTTTATGTTTTTGAAAGAATCCTAGAAGTTAAAAAAATAACAGTTACTATGGAGATGAGTACAAACTTCACTTTCATACACTCCGCAACTTCTATACCTTTGTCACCCCCTTTGGATGTAGGAAACACTGGGTTCTCGTTGATGTTTACGTTTTTATCGTTCCTCCTTTGGCACAGGTGACATTGCATTCCGGTTCCTTAATTATGTTCAGGCACAGCATCGGGGAAGGCAGAAGAGGCAGTTAAGGGCCCGGCAAAATCTATCCTGGGAAGAAATTGCCCGACAGTACCAGAATGAAGAGGATTCCTTGGGCGGTTCCCACGTCATGGTCTGTGACATCAACAAGGAGATGCTGAAGGTTGGGAAGCAGAAAGCCCAGGCTCAAGGATACAAAACTGGCAAGTCCTACAGCGAGCAGATGCAGAGAAGTGTTTGTGTGTTTACCGAATGAGATGGAATATGGGGAATATTGAAGTGCTTTATTTTCCTGCTTTTAAAAACTTAGATAGGAGTTGAAGATAATTTGCGAGGGTGAATCTACTTTGTGTGGTTACAGACATTATTTCAGCAACCCAGAGAATTAGATTGTCAGCCCAGCGTGACAGGTGATATGACCAAAGCCCCAAAGAGACTATGTATCCTACTCAAGTAACGTGACTTAAATAGTAGATCTCGGCTCCTGGACCCTGAGACAGAAGTTTTGCTTTCATTTTCCAGCACCCCGCCCCCAGTGACCCCAAACGTCCTATTCCTGAGCCGCTCCATTGCCCTGCCAGGACTAGGGCGGTTTGATTGACATGGAAGCTGAGCAGGTGTGCGGCCCTTAAAGAAGGGGCGTGCCCTGCAGCCACTGGAGTATAGTTAGCTGACAGCCCCCAGCTCTTAGCACCTGCAGGTTCTGCCTCAGCTTCCCAGCCAGGCTTTCCTGGCAGCGCCCAGCTGATGGCTGAGCAGTAAGAGGCTGCCAGGGCCTGGGCAGTTCCCAGGAGGGTCTCTAGCGCAGCCTTGGCTCCAGAGCCCCCTGTCGGGTAGGCTGAGGCTTTATCTGATCCGCACCAAGGTCTGCCCGGTTTCCCCACTCAGTCTTGTTGCTTCCTCTTTCCTCTGTCTTCCCCAGGTGCCCCCAGCCCCAAAACAAAACAACCCTTTGTACTCCACCCGAGCACCAGTTTCCCAGAAGGCCCAACTGATACAGTTGAAGAAACACCTGTAAACAGTACAGCAGGTCCCAGAATAACGTTTTTTGTTAACATCGTTTTGTTAAAACGTTGATGAGGGGGAAAAAATTTTGATTCCTGGCCAGACCCACCATCTGTGTGAAGTCGCTCTGTTTCTCCGTGTCTGCGTGGGTTTTCTCTGGGTACCCCAGTTCCCTCCCACAGCCCAAAGCTGTGCACGTGAGCGGTGCTGGCATGTGTGAGTGGCCCCAGTCCGAGTGGGGTGAGTGTGCCCTGTGGTGGAGGGACGTCCCGTTCACCTTTTGACCTGAGTCGCTGGGTGAGGCTGCAGGTGGCTGCAGCCTCAAACTGGAATAATCAAGGTGGAAAATCATTATCTGCTTTGTTTTTATTAATCTTTCTTAAATGTATCTATAGCTCACATTGATTTCAGTGTTTAATATTAGAAGGGTTTTGAGTCTTCTTTTAGAAGTTGGGTGATGTTTTTGTGACCAGAAAGATGCTGTAGGAACAACTCTTGTGTATGTCCGTGAGCCTGTGGTGAACTTGTTGCATGATCCATCGTTTCACTTAAAGTCGTAGTTTCCCAGAACCTATCTCCGATGTTAAGTGAGCACTTACTGTACTCTGAAACCGCAGCAATCTTGACAGCAGATAAGAGAGTGACTGCGCATCTCCTGGGAAGCCTCCGCAACCACAAAATGGACAGCCTGTGGTCTAGCTTAAAGGTGCATGTTTTGGAAGCATTTATCTCAGTCGGTTGAGAAAAGAAAAGAAAAAGATGTACAGTTTACATTTGGCTGTTTGTTGTAATATATATATATTTTTAAAAGATTTTGTTTATTTATTTTTAGAGAGGGGAAAGGAGGGAAAAAGAGAGAGAGAGAGAGAGAATCAGTGTGTGGTTGCCTCTCATATGGCTTCCACTGGGGACCTGGCCTGCAACCCAGGCATGTACCCTGACTGGGAATCGAACCTGCGATGCTTTGGTTTGCAGCCCGTACTCAATCCACTGAGCTATGCCAGCCAGGGCCTTTGTTTTAATATTTTTGAAAAATGTTTTATTCTTTGATTTTAGAGAGAGAGAAGAATGGAAAGAGAAACATCAATTTGCTGTTCCACTTATTGATGCATTCATTGGTTGCTTATATGTGCCCTGACCAGGGATTGAACCTGCAGCTGTGGTGTATTGGGATGATGCTCTAACCAGCTGAGCTACCTGGCCAGGGCTTAGTATTTATTTATTTATTTATTTATTACTTATATACAGTCTAGAGAAAGAGAGGAAGGCAGGAGGGGAGAGAGAGAGATTGATTTGTTGTTCCACTTACTTACGCATTCATTGGTTGATTCTTGAATATGCCCTGACTGGGGATGGAACCCGAAACCTTGGCCTACGCTCAAACCAACTCAGCTACCTGGCCAGGGCCTGTTTGCTTTAATATTTTGAAGTACTACTTCCCCTGCCCCCATTTTTTCAAGTGGAAGTAATGGTCCTGGCAGCTGCCCCGTGTTTACCCAGCTTTGCAGAGCCCCAGCTCTGCCCTCTCCCATGCCGCCCAGGCCCCGCAGGCAGCCATTATGAGAGGCCCCCGCGTGCAACAAAGAGTGCAACAAAGAAAACAAAGTGCCTCAGGTCGGCATCAGCACTGCCCTCCTTCCCTCCCCCACCAGGAGTGTCTGTGGGTATTCTAGCTCCATTCTCTCTTCCTCCGCCCACTTGGAGAGCAGCTGCCCACACCGAGGGCAGCCCGCTCGGCCCCCAAGATGAAGGGCTCTTTTGTGTGCGACCAGAAGGCAGACGGCCACTAGTGTTTGCAGACAAAGGCGCTATGTTTCCTCACTCCTACTGAAAAACGTGTTTCCTTCTCTCTGGTACTCAGCCATAAAGACTGACGAACAGAGTTAGAAATGATAAGTGATGTTTCGTCTCTGGAATCATCCCTTCCATAGCCTAGCTTGCCCTTCGGGCTCTCCTCACTGCGAATGCAAATCCACCTGCACAGGAACCAGTACATGTCAGATGGTCCAGCTGTCTTTCTCTTTCCTCCTCGCTGTATCAATCTTCAGTAATAATGCCTTTGCAAAGAAACACCATGCAGAAATAGTTGCAGCTAAGTAGGAGGATCCTAGAAATTATTTAATAAATGTAGAGTTAATGGGTAAAGACATTTCTTCATGTAGCACTGTTATGGGGGTGTGGTTTTACGTTTATGTGTAGCACTTCCTCCCCAAATGGAAGCTCTGACGTCAATAGCCTTAGATTGTTTGATGGGTTCAAAAAGGAATACGTATGAGAGAAATTTTGGATTTCTAAATTCAAAATTTTGGAAAAATATGAATAAAGTCAATGTTATCCATAATTCCAACATCTAGAGATACTCTTCAATATTTTATTTTATTTTTTTAAAGATTTTTTAAATTCTATTTTTAGAGAGAGAGGAAGGGAGAAAGAAAGGGAGAGACACATCAATGTGTGGTTGCCTCTCATGCGCACCCCCACTGGGGACCTGGCCCACGACCCAGGCTTGTGCCCTGATGGGAATCAAACCAGCAACCCTTTGGTTTGTAGCCTACACTCAATCCACTGAGCTACACCAGCCAGGTCTTCATTATTTTAATGAATTTCTTTCCTATCTTTTTTATAATCATTTCCTTTTTGTGAAATTGAGAACACCAGGTATATAGAATTTAGTATTCTGCCTTAATTCATCATTATGTGGTTGTTCCATATCATTAAAAATTTCTTAAAATCATTATTTTTTATGAAATTTCCCCAGATGGAAGTTTCATGAATCATATAACCAATTTACATAACCAACAACCAATTGATTGAATATAGCACAACATTGTGACATCCTTATTTGTACATTTTTGCATGCATTCATTAGTTGTTTTTTTTTTTACTGACTATATAACCTTGAACAAGTGTTTAAACTCTCTGGATCTGAATCTGTGAAATGGAGAAAATAATAATCACCTCATAGGAGATGGTACTATAGAATAGCTATTAAAATATAGTCTTTGACCTGGCTGGTGTGGCTCAGTGGACTGAGCACTAGCCTGTGAACCAAAGTGTCACGGGTTCAATTCCCAGTCAGGGCACATTCCTGGGTTGCAGGAAAGGTAATGTCTCTAGTAGGTGGTGCATGAGAAGCAACCACACATTGATGTTTCTCCTCCTCTCTTTCTCCCTCCCTTCTGCTCTCTCTAAAAATAAATAAATAAAATCTTTAAAAAGAGAGAGAGAGAGCCCTGGCTGGTGTAGCTCAGTGGATTGGGCACAGGTTGCCAACCAAAGGGTCACCGGTTCGATTCCCAGTCGGGGCACATGCCTGGGTTGCGGGCAGATCCCTGGTAGGGGCCATGTGAGAGGCAACACACATTGATGTCTCTCTCCCTCTCTTTCTCCTTCCCTTCCCCCTCTCTAAAACTAAATAAATAAAATCTTAAAAAAAAAAAGAGAGAGAAACATAGTCTCTGAGATAAAACTACCTGAGTTCCAAACCATCTGTGTGACCTTGGACAAGCTACTTTAACCTTTTTGATACTAAATTTTGCTCCCCTGAAACATGAGGATGATAGTAACAGCTGTCTCATGGAGTTGGTGTGAGGATATGATAAAATAACCTATGTACACTAGTTCCCTCTTATCTGTGGAGAATATGTACCAAGACCCTCAGTGGATGTCTGAAATCTCGGATAGCACTGAACTCTATATGTACATGCTGTGCTTTTTCCTATATAGACATGCCTATGGTAAAGTTTAACTGACAAACTAGGCACTGGGAGAGATCAGCCATAACTAATAATAAAAGAATTATAATAATGTGCTGTAATAGAAGTTATGTGCAGGTGGTCTCTCAAACTTTTACTGTTCTGTGCTCGCCCTTCCTCTTGTGCCGTGAGATGACACAGTGCAAACCGCCTCCTGACTGTGTGTGACTGCCCCTCACTTGCAGTGAGTGGTTTGGCGTCACACGTTTGAGGACACCCCTTGCCGAGGTCTTCCTGGAGGCCCAGTGCTTTCTGGTGTGACAGGTCGCCATCAGCTGGAACACGTTTTCTGTTCATATTGTCCACCCCACAAATGTAGCGCCTTTTCCGTCTTAACTGAGTACTTATCATCTGTGGGGACTGTAACCGTTGCTGTTTGAGGTGCAACAGCAAAACTAGAATTTTTTTTTAAGATTTCACTTATTTATCTTTAGAGAAAGGGGAGGGAGAAAGAGAGGGAGAGAAACATCAACTTGCCTCTTGCACGCCCCCCACTGGGGACCTGGCCCACAACCCAGGCATGGGATCTGACTGGGAATCGAACCTGTGACCTTTTGGTTCTGACGCTCAATCCACTGAGCCACACCAGCCAAGGCAAATTTCTGTTCTTCACAATCTCACCAATAGGAGATTTCTTCTTACTGTGGATCTTAGCCACCTCAGCATATGACTTTTCTTTCCTTCCCTTATTGAGTGTACAACTTTTCCCTTTCCCCTCAAAAGAAGCGCTTTACGGCTCCTCTTTGGCATGTCCAAATGGCAGTCATCACTGCTCCAGCACTCTGAGGCCGTTATTAAGCAAAGCAAGGCCTGCTTGAACACGAGTGGGACAACCTTCCGAACAACTGAGGGACTGATGGGGCGTAGCATGTACAGCGTGGAGATCCTGGACAAAGGGGGTGATTCACGTCACGGGCAGGACAGAGCAGGGCAGTATGAGACACACCAAGATTTCCTCACATTCCTTGGCACAGCAAGCGATTTAAAATGTGTGGATTGTTTATTTCTGGAATTTTCCATGTCATGTTTTTGGACCACAGTTGACCACGTGTGACTGAAACCACAGACAGCGGACCCTTGGACGAGGGGGCGCTGCTGTAAAGTGGGAACGCAGACCCTGCCGTCAAAGGGTCCCGTAAGCAGTAGCTGTGATGTCATCAGGGGCGTCCTCCTAAAAATCAAAACAGCTGGGTCCAAGGGTAGGCTTATTGGTAAAGTTCTTGTTAAATACTGCTAGTTTGCTTTCCAGAAAGGTTATTTTCATGGGCCTTCCTCTACAGAGCCTTCCTTCTAAGTCGTATATTATGTATCATTCGCTGCAAATTAAATAATGTTAAAGCTGAATCAGGGTCCGTACAGGGTATAGCCACTCTGATGTGGGGCTTCCTTAGGTTTTTTCTGAATACATGACCAGACTTGCAGTCTAGACACTTTGCTTCTCTCGGACTCCAATAGAACCAGTATAATGACACTATATTCTGTACTTAGAGTGCGTCAATGACCCTCTAAAGTAGGTACTATTGTTAACTCCATTTTACAAATGAGGACACTGAGGCAGGGTAGTTTTTTTCAAGGTTATACAGCTAATGAATGGTAAAGCTGGAATTAGAACCCAGGAGGTCTAACCCCAGGGTCTGGGCACCTGACCACAGTGCAATACAAAACACTTAGTTGAATACACACTGCTCGAAGGTGGGCATAGCTAAGCAAGCATCAGGTTTCACTCAGAGCCTTGGGTGAAGGACCTCCCCTAAACTTCAAGGACACCAGCTTCAAGTCCTCGGGATTGGGGGACACCCATGAAGACAGTGGCCAGGAATCCAAGGGGGAGGAAGGCAGGTCTGTGTTTTCTGACACCACCTCTGATACCCAATGTGTAATGCATGCCTGTCACCAAACGGTTCTCCAGTTCTCCTACACCAGCTGGGTGTCTGAGAGTCCAGTTCAGTTCTGACATGTAACAACTGCCCAAAGTCAGCATCAGATTCCACAGGTTCTCGGGCTCAGCTCCCCAAGACTGCCCCCAATTTAGAAGCCAGCTGCCAACGGGGTGTCCAGGCTGACCAACTCCTGCTTGGCTGACTGCAGGTTCAGGGGTGCCCCACGCACCTCTCTTCGGGTTTGGCAGTTCGCTGGGTGCGGAAGAGGCAGCTTCCCCGACGGAGATGAGAACGAGTTTTCTCTTTCAGGACTCGCTTGGGTATTGGGAGATGCTGAAGAACTGCCCTTTGATGACGACAAGTTTGACGTTTACACCATTGCCTTTGGGATCCGGAACGTCACACACGTCGACCGGGTACGAACGGCTGCATCTCAGGACGTTGGTTCTCCCGGAGTGGCTCCACGGTGAACGAAGGAAGACGGAGAGATTTTTTTCTGGGTTCGGCCCTTGAACGGAATGACTGTTTCAGAGTCAGGGGCCTCAGTCCTTTAGGTTGCCAATGTTCCTAGTCCCAAAATTGGTAAGGACCAGAGAGCAGATCCCCATAGAAGCCATAGTTGCTTGGGTCGGTATTTAAGTCTTTGAGACTGTCAGTCTTGCTCAGGTATTTCATCAGTTTCCTCTCACCCAAGAAGCCATCTGACCCTGTGAGTTCACAGAAGCTCGGGGGCATTCCTGAGGTTGACCCAGAAAAAGGCACTCAAACATTATTTTGGCAGGAGGTAGCTAGTCGATTTATGGTTTTCTACAGAGAGAAGGGGATGTCTGGCTCTTCGTCTGGCTCTTAATCTGATGCAACTTTTATTTATACTTTAATATTCTGTGCACGGCACTTGAAGACAGTGTTCAAAGCATCAGTTTCATTTGTGTAATACGGGCTCTGGGTACCTGATTCTCCTGCTCTGGCTGGGATATCCTTTACAGGGGTCTTTAGTGGGGTTTCGTGACCTGTCCTGCGTCTGTAGCCACAGTTTATTATGTCTTTATTTTTTTTCAAGATTTTATTTTTATTTATTTTTAGAGAGAGGGGAAGGGAGGGAGAAAGAGAGGGAGAGGTGTGGTTGCCTCTCACATGGCCCCCACTGGGGACAGAAGCTGCAGCTGCCTCGGCCTCACGGAGTTGAGTGCGTCTGCTGAGGAACGTTCTTTTGTGCCTTTTCTCACTCAGGCACTGCAGGAAGCCCATCGGGTCCTGAAACCAGGAGGACGGTTTCTCTGCCTGGAGTTTAGCCAAGTCAACAATTCCCTTGTGTCCAGGTTGGCATTGTTAACAGGGCTTGATTCTCCTCGTTCAGCCAAGGATTCCCGTCCCCGCATGGATAGAAAGTAGCCAGTAAGCAGTAAGCACGAACCTCATAGTTCATTCGCAGACTCCCCGAGGGGTGGCACCACCTCAGATGTCAGTCCCTGCTGAAGAACGTCGTCTAGGCCAGGAGAGCCTCAAACCAGCGACCCGAGGCAGCAGTCTGTCCACAGGTTTTGTTTGACGCCTGGCATTTTTAAAAGTTGACTTAGATGTCCATATTTAAAAATCAGAAGTCTACATAAAAATCTGAATTTCCAGCTTCACTTGAGAAATCAGATAGTAGGGCAACCCTGAGTAAGCCATATTCCCACGTGGCCGTGGCTGGAGCTGAGTAGTGAGTACCCCTTCTCCACTTGTATGGCGCTTCCTAACCGTGCCTGTGACCACCTCCTCACCACTCCCTGCTGCTCCTGCACCTGGCTCCCTTCACTTGTTTTAGGTGCTTGCTTGACCCCACAGGCATCAGAGTTTATGACCCCAGGCTTAGACCTTCTTGCTTCTTACCAAGGGACATGTTCTAACCTTCATCTTTGGCCCTTTCATTTAGGCTTTATGATCTCTACAGCTTCCAGGTCATTCCTGTCCTGGGAGAAGTGATCGCAGGAGACTGGAAGTCCTACCAGTACCTCGTGGAGAGTATTCGACGGTTCCCGTGTCAGGTATAAAACTTTTTTTTTCTTTTTTTTTTATTTCTTCATTTTTGGAGAGATCATTGATTGAAGTCTTTTTTTTTAAGGTTTTACTTATTTATTTTTAGAGAGGGAAGGGAGGGAGAGAGAGAGAAACATCAATGTGCGGTTGCTGGGGGTTGTGGCCTGCAACCCAAGCATGTGCCCTGACTGGGAATCGAACCTGCGACACTGGTTCGCAGCCTGCGCTCAATCCACTGAGCTATGCCAGCCAGGGAGGTATAAAACTTCTGTAGCTTACAACGAAGGCCCCAAAGCTGAGTCCCAGTGACCCTTGCCGTGTCTCCCTTTGTCTTTTAGGAGGAGTTCAAGGAGATGATAGAAGATGCAGGCTTTCAGAAGGTGACTTATGAAAGTCTAACGTCGGGCATCGTGGCTATTCATTCTGGCTTCAAACTCTAACTCCTGTCCAGTCCCGGAGCGGGACCCGCTCACAGCCTGTCGGGAGGCTGCAGCGGAAGGAGAATCCGGCTGGTGAGACTGGCAACAGAATGTCCCCTCCTAAGGATACGTGCCTTGGACTCGTTTCTGATATGACCAATCTCCCAAAATGGAAGAAACAAATTCCTGTCACTTTATTTCACCTTGCGTCAGGAACCACTTCACGCCTCTCCCTGGGGTCTTATTGTATTTTTTTTGCCCAGTTCCTGCTATTTTTTCCCCAGCTGTGCAGTGTGTGGTGTGGGTGAAACCAGCACTAAGGCGGTTTTGAAGCGTGTTTGTAGTTTCTCTGCTGGTGCTGACTCCCAGAGGGACAATGAATCATTGGAATCTAATGATTTGAACCGGAAAACTTCCTAACTGTACCCGAGTCAACCTTGCATCCTAGGACGGGTTGAAGGCCAAGAGCCAAGGCCCATCAGAGGACTAACGATCGCAGCCGGAATCATGTGCTGAACCACTAAATGAGTTTACAGTTTGTTTGGTATTTGTGATTTATTTCTTCTTGAGGGAAATGCATTTGTCGTCACTCACTCAGTGCTCTTTCTACCAAAGCCACTGCTGTGCCCTCCTCCGTGCCTGTCGTGAAGAAAGCAACTCAACAGCTCCTTGAAAGAATAACTGTACCAGCAGACTCCCGCATTTAAGTCTTATATAAAGAGCTTCTTTGTCAGAACACATTTGAAGAAAGGCTTTTACAGCAAAAAAAAGTTTGAAAACTATTTAGCCTACCCTCCTCCAGTCCTCAGGGCTCTTATATCCTTAATACAGTAATTGGTGTTAAAATGAGGCATGTTTTGAATGTGGATAGAGCTTAAGGTTTTTGTGGGGCCTTGCTAAGTATGAACTTGCAGAAGCCAACCAGTTGCCTGGCAGTTTGTTCATTGTAGATTAGCTTAGGACAGAGCTCTTTGAAAAGGCTCCCGGTATGCTGTCTATTTTCCCAGCACAGTAGGGTCATTTATATACCTTCACTCGTAAGATCTTGCCCTGTCCCTGGTGAGCGTTCAGATACAGGGATCTATATGCAACTATCTGAAAGACAGCAACCAGGAGCATTTAATACAATGCTAAACCTTAGAAAGACTTAAGCTTTTTTTTTTTTTTCCTCCCAGCTAGCTGGAGCCTATGGGCCTCTGACATGAACAAGGAGCAGGCACTGGAACTTTGTAAACCATCAACCCAGTTTTATCTTCACAGCAGTGTGGTTTCCTCACATTTGAATAAATCAATTAAAAGCTGCCACTTCCTGGCAGTAGATAAGGGCCTAATCAAGTCAGAACCCCCAATGTCCAGCTGCTGGTATTTACATGAACAGATTGAAAATGTTCCCGGTCCTAAAATAGCTCAACTTCATTAGGACTCCTAAAACCCCAAGTACCAGTGAAGGAAAACAATCTCCCAAAGATGTTACAGACCCAGTGCTGCTCTTACATGGAGCATCACCTATCAATTCAAATCTACCACCCCTTCCAGGTAGCAGTAACCTGGCTGCTCAGAAATCCTAATTGTAGCTCACAAGTCCAAGAGCTAAAACAAAAATCCATACTTCATGTGAATACTGAGCATACGGTAACTGGGAAGCCAGGCCCTCTTACAACTTCCCAAGATGGCTGTGGACTCTTTCAGCCTCTGGAGTATTTCCTTTCTACCTGTAAGACAAGTCTGCCGTACTTGTCTTAAAAGACTTGTCTTCTTAAAATTGATTAACAGGAAACCTTTAATGAAGACTACTTAACCAGCTTTAATTGGGTCTTTTAGTGACAGCCTCAATTCACATTTGTTAATTGGGTTTCTGACTGCAGCCACAGCACAGCACAGCAGGCTCACACATTTAAATTCCTGCAAAGACTTCCTAAGAATCACATGGAAGGCTGCTGTTCATCTCTCCGTTTAAAACCACCTTTCATCTTTTGGGGCCTGGCAAGGGACTGCCATTTCAGTGTATTTCCATTCCACGGCCATAGAGAGCTTATCTAAAGGAGTTCTACAACACATTCATCACCACGACCACTTGAGGCCTAAGGCCCAGAACATTCTATAGCAACATCTTTTAATGAGCACTTAAGGACAACAGCATTTTCTAGGTTAGATGTAAGACTTAATCCAGAAATTTCTGCCATGCACTTCTGAGACTTCTTCTGCCATGCATGACAGTTGCAAATGGGTTGAGAATGACAGACTTTAGAGTACTGAGTAGGTGAGTGCACCATATCCCACAGAAGCTTACTTCAGGGACTCACCCCCACTAACCTAAATGGCTATGGACCACCTTCAGCAACCTGAGATTAGTTGAACAAATTGTAACTAACACAAAGTTCTTCAACAGATTTATTTTGAGGGCAAAGGAATGGATTTTGAGGAGGAAGAACATGGAGCAGAGAGGTATGGAATAGAAAATAAATACAAGTGTAAGCTGTTTTGCTAAATGTTTTATAACCACAACAAATGAGTACAGAGAATGCCCTGTACAAAATAATAAAGGTTCAAGATCAAGGTGTTCCTTTAAGCAAGGCTGAAGATTTCAGTCTCTGGTATTTGGAATTTAGGCTGCAATCCTCGTTTTTGGATGGATCACTGGGGTGTGGTGCAGTTCACTTTAACCAGATTTGAACAGAAGAATGGCCACTTGGCCCAGGTAGAAGTAGATGAAGTGTTTGGTTTCATGTGTCACGTAACTACCGAAGTTCCTCCCCACGATGCAGTGCCATGTGGGGTTGTACTTCTTGTCAAACTCCTAGTGGGGGAGGGGAGAGAAAGAGAACACTAGAATTTTAATGTTAAACCAAAGATCAGAGTTTGCCTCCTGGATAGGCAGAGCCTGCAGGGGTGAAAATGAGGAACGTTAGCATCTGCAGATTCTTAGAACGAAAGAATGTTCCCCAGCTCCAAGTCGCCTACATAGTGCATTAATGCAAACATACTTGCAGTGTGAGCTAAGCTGGGACCGAGCTGGGATGTAAAAAGCAGAAAGGGCAGCCTCAAAGACAGGGCACTTTGTTATCGTGGTAATTCCACGATAATTCATTGATAGGTGACATCGACAATTCTAGTTTATCCTGTTCTCATGTGTAAACACAGAACTGAACAGTCGTCCTACTGTATGTCAGTCATGCACCCCCCCAAATCCTAGAAGATGGTTTTTAGCCCAGAATACCCCACTGTAGTTCGTTCAACTCCACTCTAGTATCCTTGATAACAAAAGACTTCCAAAAGAACAAAGTCTCAATTAGCATATAAACCACTGTGGATCAAAATTTTAATTTAAGGAGACACACTGGGCACTCCAATGCACCTATAAAAAGAATGCTGGGAGCAGAATCTAACAGCCACCTGATCAGATTTTATCCTTAAATATTATTTAAATAGCCCTCCTTTTCACATCTGTCTTGAGGCTGATATTCTGCAGAAACGCTTTTCCTCTATTTTCCCCACTCGGAGAGGCTTGGGTACCAACTAGAATGCCCGTGTTAATTTCTTCACTAGGTTACTGTAGACAGGCGCCACAGCTAATCCTTATCTATAAAATTATTTAAAGTCTGTGATTTGGCTCCTCTTATATTGTACGCAGCGTTAACATCTTTTAAATCGAGGTGAACATTCTTACAAGCTACAGGAATGCGCTGCTGCGTTTGTCAAAAAAGGGTGTTTCTATTTCATCTAAAGTCTTTCATCTTCTCATTCTCCACTGCAACCCTCTCACGGCTTAGGCTGCCAGCTTCCTTCCCGTCCAGAAAAGCTGGAGCAGCTGGCAGTTCTGACAGCTGTCTACAGACTGTTACTTACCAGGCCCCATCCTAGCCCCCCAACTACCACTGCCACCTACTTTCTCTCAACTGGCGGCTAAACTCCCCACTGGAAGGCTGGCAAGATCTCCCTCCGGCCTGGCTGGAAACACCCACGCACTCCTCCCTCCCGAACACCCAGATGGATCTTCCGCGCAGGAATCGTGCAGAACGGGGAACCGCTGCTCCCCGATCCTGGAAACCGTTGCTAGGTGGCGCTTTCTCCGTCAGAGCTGGGTAATAAATTAAAAAAAAAAAAAAACTTGGGGCACCGAGATCCTGGTCTTCCCAAGAGGAGCGAAAAATTCACTTGCGTTCTTTCTGGAAACCTCCACACACGAGCCGCCCTGCGTGTCCTCAAGGATCTCTACCAGGCGCTCTAGGGATGCATCATCCCGGAGAGGAAACTAAGTTGCGACTCGCTCCAGCTGAGAGGCATCAGCCTCAGCCCCCCACCAGCGCCCCATCTTTACCTTCTTAATATGCGCCGCAATATCCTTCTCTATGTTATATTTCTCCAGCGCCTGAGTAGCACATTCCACGGAGTCCTGTTGCATCTCCTCCGACATATCGGCATTTTTGATCACCGCCTTTCGGTCGCACATGGTTACCTGGGGGACGGGGGAAAGACAAAGGGTGAGGATTTGGGATGCGTGATGCACCTGCAAAACGCCAGCTACCCCTCGCCCGCTCCGCCGTCCCGGGATGACGCCCCCCAGACCACTTCTCAGGGAGCGCAGTCCACACAGACCCAACAGCGGGAGAAGTCCGGGGAGGGACAAAACAAGGTAGCGAAGTCCCCCGGAGCCCCAAGATTCTCACAGTGGAGCAGGTGCTGGCCAACTGCGACGGTCTCCTGGGGGAGGGGCTGGCGAAGCTCACACCTAGCAGAAGCCGTCGCTACCGAAGCCGTGGCGCATCTAAGGAGCACCACACCAGACACCGCCGCCTATTGCCTAGGCTCCGCCCTGCTCCTGAGGGCCCGCCCTTACAGTACATTCCTACTGGCTTGATGCAACACCTACGACTCTCCCATTGGTCCATAGGTTGAATGGTTCCCGCAGGATCTTTCTCCTGCATTTTGTTGCAGACCACAATGCACTGCTCGTGGCGTCGGTTGCCCCGGTGATGGGCAGCACGCGGTGAGGCCCACACACCGCGATGGTGGAGCTGGGGCGCGCTCTGTAGAACACCGAACCGCTAGAGGGGTGCAAGGGAAGATTCTGCGCAAGCCAGGAAAGTGATTCCAAATTTACCGACATTGTCCCAAGATTTGTTCTCGAATGGTACACAGTCGGGTCCACCCCAGATCGGAAGGATTTACGGATTCTGACTGAGCTGGCCAATCGCTTCACTGAAAGGGAATCTTTGAAGCAGAATCGTTTACCTGGGCAAATAGACTAGTGCAGTCGCAGAAGAGGGAATCTCAGGGCTTGATTTAATGCTCTACTGTCTCATTCTTGAATTATTTTTTTATTTTTCAGCAAGGGACCTCAGTTTTTTGTTTGTTTTTTGTTGTTCTTTTGCTTTAGGTCCCGCAAATTATGTAGCCTGTCCTCCTTAGAAATATAGGAGAGAGATTCCTTAGGAATAAGAGAGGGTTTCTTTATGAATTAAGGAATTACCCCCCCGCCCCCCCCCCCAGAATTGGGTCTTCTCGGCAATTCAGACCTCCTTTAAAGGGGTGGGGGGT